TCCTCCATATATAATTATGTATGTACGTACGTACCAGTATTTGTATATATCTGATATGTATGCATTTGTACGTACTTTATTAAAGAAATAATGAAACGAGCGCGTTTATAAACAAACTTTTGTAAGATTAATTAATATCGGACCCAGTGTCACACTTAGAAAATTTACTAAACCGACACAGATTCACCGATCGTTCGTGTATTTTTCGAGACATTAGTGCGTCATGGCAAACACAACAAAAGAATGGCTTGAAAAAGCCATTTCCGGGGGACATATTAACCTTAAAATAATAAATTTACGGGCCCTACAATGATTGGAATCGGGATTTTTGAAAAGTATGAATGGAAAGATTGTGAATTAACAGTTGTTCTTAAATGTCTTAATTGATACTGATATAGGTTTAAATGAAGAAATTATTTAAAGAATTTGTTAATGAGGTGTTTATTAAATTAAAACTTGAATTACTTTCTGATATAGTATGAAATTTCTATAATCATATTATAAAAGATTAAGCTATTCTGAAGAGCTGATTACCATCCAAACATTATTAAATTCTATGGGATCACGAAAGGTATGCATATAGTTATTGTTCCTAGGCATAAAATAATAAATATTTTAATCTTTAATTGACATTAATTACAAATAAATGAATCTTACAAGACTATAGTGGACAGATAAATTTCTAAGGAAATTGTACATGATCTTTTGTTCTTACACAATATCAATATTATTCATCGGGATCTTGTGTGTATATTATTTTTATATTCTGTGAATCTTTAGTTACAGAAACTTATATTTCATAGCATTCGAAGAATATCTTGATTCATTAAAGACAACCAAAAATTGCAGATTTCGGACTATCAAAGCAGATAAGCGTAACGTCTATGACTTCTATTCGAATACGTTGAGCCTCAGTGCCTTTTTAATCAAGGATATAAACATACGAGATGTCAGACATCTATAGCCTTTATTCAATATTTTTGGAAATTTCAAGTGGAAGGCCACAATTCCAACACTTAACAAACGAAATGATTGTTATTTTCACTTTCCAAAGGAAGAGAGAAGAGCCTATAAAAGATACTCCACCTCAATATCTTGAACTTTACAAACAATGTTGTAATAGCGATCCTGCTAATTGTCCAGAGTTTTCAACACTTTAAAACAACTTATTCCTAATGAAACTTTGAGTTTACACCATTCTATTGGAACTCATCAGTTCAAAATAGCGAAACTTATCAAAATAATACAAATGCACTTGTAAATTCGACATCTTAATTTATTTGATGCAATAAGTTCAAGTATTTAAACCATCAAGATAATACAGACACACTTATATATTCACTAGATTCACTATATTCTTCACATGATTTTGTATCATCTCTAATAACTTCCAAAATTTCAAGTCATCAAGATAATCCAAACTAAAAACTGTTTCAACAATATTCTTGATAATATGAGAAAAGAAGCACATGAATGTTTTGGGCAAGGTCAATTTTTCAAAGCATTAGAAATTCTCGAGAACAGCCGGCATAGTGCTGAAGATCAAAAAAGTGCTTCAACTTGAAATCTTTGTAAAAAAAATGTGGATCAGAAAGAATAGGCGACTTAATAAAAGCACTTTGCAAAATCATCATGCTGACTTTTTTGGATCTTAGTGTTAATGATCTTGCATCAGAAAAAGAGAAAGCATTAGCAGATGCATTTTACAAGAATAGTACACTGACTTCTATGAATTTTCGACAAAATGATCTTGGATCAGAAGGAGAAAAGGCATTAGCAGATGCATTTTGCAAAAATGCCACGCTTACTTTTTTAAGTCTTAAGAGTAATTCGAAAAGCAGTAACAATTGCATTTTGCAAGAACAATACTCTGAAAGATTTGAATCAGAAGAAGGAAAAGTGGTAGTAGATGCACTTGTCAGAGTAGATATAGATAGGAGATTTAAATCAAAGTCCGATTTCTCAAATCAACCGAATTGTTAGTTTATAAGCTTCTTTATATGTATAATATATAGCGATAGTGATAGTATTATTAAAATGAGTCATGGGTAGATGTATCAAAAACGTAAGCTTTGCATGAGTGTCGGTATTGTTATGAAGATCAGATGATCAGATATAACGTGATCATCAAAACAAAACAAATATTAGGTGCTTAGTTCGTTTTTTCTTTTTTTTTTTCTCATTTGATGTCATGTTTTTTCCAAACTTAAAGACAGTTGAAAAACTGCGAAGTAGAGGTTTTCATAGACGAACTGTAGCAAAAAAGCTTCGAAGATTTATTAAAAAAAAAACAACACTTCGAGGAAGAACAACTAGCTTCTGTATAGAAGATACAGAAGAGACTGGTTGAAGTATAAATATGGAGTGCTTTTCGGTGTATCTTTTTTTTTTTTTCTAGGTAGAAATAATTATAGTTGTGGTTTCAGCGTTGAAAACCACATCATATTGATACCTTCCCAACCGATGAGATACATTTTTATGTGGTGATTGGGACAAGTAGGAGATATAATCTCCGAAACCAAGTATTTCAAAAACTTATTTATTAAATATAAAAAAATTTAATAATGCTAATCATGAAAATAATAGTAATTTTGTCTGCTTGGAAACAAAATATCAAATCTAAACTTGATGTATATATAGTGATTTGAAAAATTTTATCAGTTATCATAAGAAAATTAAAAATTTGACACTATAACTATGAATATGTTTAATAAATCAAATTTACATCATCAAACGGCTAACAGCTTTAAAATTAACATTTCAAAAAACAAAAAAATCGACTTCAACTAGTCGAGTGAATTAAAATATATGGAATGATGTTTATCTAAATATCATGATATGTAAGGATGAAAATTATACGGTATAATAAATTTGGGTATAAATACCAGGTTATTTTACCGTATAATTACCGTATAATATTCTTATTTATCGTCTACAACCTAACCAATAACAAGTACATATAATAATATATAGATTTGTCACGTGCTTACTCATTGCTATGAAAAATTTCATCTTGATTTCTATTGGCTAACTTTGTTACATTAAAATATTATACCAGTTATACGGTATATTATTAATTATACTATATCAATTATACGGTTATTATACCATTTTTATTATATGGTATCGTATATAGTGTTCCAATTCTAGAGTAACATTTTGTTTTTTATCCGATCTGATTAAATTTTTTAAAATCGGATAATGCAATAAAATTATTCAGTTTTATTCGAATATCCTTAAAGAATCTGATGTTATCTGTAATTATCATTATACTATATAATTAAAATATACAGTATTTATATCAATATACTTACAATAAAACAATCATAAAATAGAAGTTGCAAATTTATATTTATTAATTAACAAATGACATTCTTAGAGCAGTATTATAACATTTTACAACTATAAAGTATAATAAATCTAGTACTACTAGTTTAATTGCAAATATAATTTGAAGTTTAAAAGATAACTATATATCTAAAGGAGTATGAATGCTATCCAAATATTTATGGCTTTTTTTTAAAAACATTATTCTTTTAAAAAGATTAGGAGACATTCGTGTTTTTTTTATAGTTAAAAGATTACTAGCATTAGAAAATAATCTTTCAGATGCTGTAGAACAGGCATAAACTGCTAAATATTTTTTAGCAAGCCTACTTAGAATTGGAAAATTTTCACGTCTTTCATACCACCAATTAAAAGCATCACTTTCAAAATCAATTTCTTCCAATTTTAAATATTCGCTAACTTCATTAAATACTGCAATTTGGGGTTTTTTAAGATTGGCAAGAATCTTAAGTTGTTTTGTTTTTTGAATTACAGTCTTTTGTTGAAAATTTGAATTTAATAAAAATGATGATGCATCATTTAAACTCAACTCAGTTTTCATTTTAACAAACTTTTTTTTTAATAGTTTTTCAGTCGTATATCTATTTGCTTCTGACACAATTGCCAAATTTTTAATTCGTGAATCTAAAATACTTGAAAGAAGAGATTGTGATGCTGTAAGAGCTTTCTAATAATAATCCATAGCCATATTTAAGGTTTCTTGAATTGTATCAATAAGCCCATTACAATTTAATGGAGTATTTAGATTTTTTGCTTCTTCATTTGTATTATTATCATCAAATACTGTTTTATTATTTGAAAAATCTAATACCATCATTATAAAATTGCTGCATAATGCTAATAGCATAAATTGTTGTTTAATACTAATTAAAATAGGATTCATCATTGAGTATGTATAATAAGTACTGCTGCCCAAGAGACTTGTTGCGTCTGCAAAAGGTTGTAATACTAGTATAAGATTTGTATTGCACTCCATTCTTCATCAGACAACATAATCGTTTGAAGAGTTTTGTAGTCTTTTTTAGAATCTTGATCATTTTTTGTGCTTAATATATTCAATAATATATAGATATGTTTTTTTAATTTTAAAAGTCGAATCTATGCTAAATATTGAGAATTCTATCGAGTAGGACAATCAGCAATCGCATAAAGATATTCAGCAGTTTTTCCTAGATACTTTAAATTAAAATTATTTTAAATATGACATAAAATTAAATTAATTTAAATTATCACATGTATATAATTTACAATTAATTTTTCTTCGATATTTTTATTAATATCACTTTCTAACTCCTTATCTATTTTTAATTCATCTACTAATTCAGGAAATTTTCTTTGAACTTCTTCTAAATGTTCACTTTGTTTTGAACATAAAAAAAAATCAATAAGACGTTTGACATGAGTAATTAATTTTTCTGCTGGTTTCATTCCTTTACCAACAACTAATTGAAGCGTATGTGCAGTACATCCTAACCAATTTATATTATTTAAACTTTTTACAGCCTTTTTCATATTGCTTCTATTGTCAGTTGTAACATTAAAGACTAAATTTTGCAAATTTCAATCTTTTAAAATTTCTTCAACTGTATTTGAAATATTTTTAGCTATGTGAGGATATTTAATATAAACTATATCCAGCATAAATTCTTTTAATCGAAAAAATTGATCTACATAAGAACATGTGATACCAAGATATCCTTGATGATTTCTAGCTGTCCAGAGATCCATAGTCAAAGATACTGAAATAGCTTCTGCAATAATTTGGGGTTTTAATTGTAGAAATGAATAATTATATGCTGAATAAATAATATTCTTGACAGTTTCTTCACACGGAATTAAAAAAGCAGGATCCAATTCATTTAAAAAATGCCTAAGTGCATTATTTGAAACAATATGAATTGGCATACAAGCTTCAATTATCAAATCAACAAGATATTGCCGAAGTT